TTTGAAAAGAGTGGCTGGTGAATTGGCTGACACCGCCCATCAGCACTTGTGACCGACTGTACTTAGTAAGCACAGAGCTACTAATGCCTCCCGAGCTGTAACTGAGCTTGCCCTGGCACCGGCTATTATTTCCCGTGTTTACTTAGCGTTACACTCTGTATCACTTCTGCTAGCTTGCCAGCTAGGCAATAGCTAACTTACTTGAAGCAGGACCAGTGAGAGCTCTCCTTAAGACAGTCAAGGACCTCACTAGGTCCTCAGTCATGCAACGTTTCCCTCCTTCCTGAGGGATGCGTACTGTGTTTCTTGCCACTGTCCCAGGCTTTGGGGAGCAGATACCGGACACTATCACCCTGTGAAGATGGGGTGCAGTGCTTGCCTGGCCTGTAGAACTAGGGCTAACATACGAGTTCCCGCTGTGAAGACTTTGATGGGCTTCAGTATAAACAGACAGATTAGGCCTTCATCTGGAGGGTGTCGCAGCTAGAATCCAACAACGTGTCCAATGCATCGCCCAAAGCTCACATGGCTCATCCCCGTCGTCTTTGACCGTGGTCCACAACCGCCACACTTCAAAACGAATTTCAAGAGTAAATGGCAAGGATGGCTGAGAACTTGAGCTGTAACATTGGCTATGGTCGGTGTTGGCTTCTTATTTCAGCACCTTTTCTTTCCATTGCATAGGCCACGGATTTGATCTCTCTCTTGTAAATATCTGCATTTAAGTGCTTTTGAGTTAGCTCTGAGTACCCAGCATACACAGCAGCACTTACCGGCCCACTTCATTACTGCTTTCACACGAAGAGGAGGCACCTTAACACTTTGTCCCATGGCATCAATGAGCAACAGATATTCCTACAAAGTCACAGCTGTTTGAAATACATACAAGAGAAGTGGGCAAAAGCGAACTGATGATACACAATTTTCCCAGCAGAACATTTTCTTTATTAGCTTTTTATTATGACTATTAACAAACTGCTTAGACTCTAGGTTTTTTTATTTTTGTAAGTCAAGCCTGTAGACTATTAGCAACCTACTGCTTTTTACTTTGTTAGAGTTGTTCTGTGTAAGAGCTAGGCTCTTAAGCCTTCAGACGTATGAAAACATTGCTTTAAAAATTTATTTCTCACAGAAATAGCTTAGCATCTATTTTTTGTAGCTTACAAAAGCAGCATGCCTACAGGTTTTTCCATAAAGAATGTTTCATGATACTCCATTGATGTAATTTCCTCTTCACAGCCTGCTTTCCAAAATGGTTCTTCCTTTCTTTGTGAATCCTTTTGGCCACTGTATGTATTTGCATAATGTCTACTTACCTTCTCATCTTTAAGTACATTATTTCTATTGTATCTTTTCCCCCAGTGTTCAGAACTAACCAGTCTACAAGACACTCCACTAAAGCCATTTCATTCTCGCCGTCCAAATGTAGGTCCCAGTTAATCTCATCAAATTTCTTCTGCTGATTTCAGTGGAGGCACTGCTGCTTCCCGACTAACAGGGACACAAACGAAGCAGAAGCAATTCCATTAAAGCAAACTCAAATATATTTATTATCACGGAGTCCAACGAACAAAAGCCTTCAGAGTTTTACAGTGTTGTAAAAAGCAAACCTCTTGCTACTTTTCCATGTTTTTTGGTAATGAAGTGCCATTACTGGTTTTGGAGGCACTTCACAGGAGCCTGTTATGGTAGTCCTTACCCAGTGTTGATCTCACTTTCCAGGATTCTAACGGAATGGCGTCTTGGGTCTCTGGCTGAGACATATTCTAGTTCCAGCCACCGTAACAAAAGTCCTAAACCATGAGAAATTAAGGAACTGAAAATAAAGTCATTCGGACTCCTGCCTCCAGTCAGCAGTCGTTATTGCTGGCGTTAGGGCAAAGCTGAGCTGCACAAAAAGAATGTTACCCAGCTGGCAAGCTGCCTCAGACTCCTGCCCATTTTCCTTCTCACAAAGGAAGAGACAATGGTCAGTTCCTTTTGGGTGTCTCCATGCTTGGGCCATCTGGGCCCCATACTTCGGCCATCGCCAGATGTAGGAAGATAAAAATGGATTCACAGCCCTCATTCTTACTTGTAATCAAATGCGGAACTCAAATACTTCATCTCTCATCATTTACATGTCCTGCTATATTGAAGGTACCAGTATTTCAAGATTTTTTTTGGCTCCTGAAAGCAGATTAACCAACCAACCAAATTAACAAGAGAATGCCATGAAAAAAAAAAAAACTTAATACATGGTAATTTTCTATGTTATAAACATTAAACACAAACAGTCAGTAATGATTCCCAGATTTTCACACCACAATTCTGGAATGTCCCAGAAAAGGGAACTTCAAGGAGTCAATCAACTTTGCAGTCCTGTTTTAATCTGCCTATTACAGAAGTGAGCTGTGAAGTCCCCTTCTCTTGCTTTGGTTTAACATTACGCCATTTATAATCCCCTTGATTTTCCTTAGAAACATTAGTACTGTTCAGGCTCATTAAGGTGCAATTTTGTCTTTAGGTTTCAGATAGTAACAGCCTTGCTGAGTTTTCTAAAATTAAATTTAATATAGAAGGCTTTACATCTTGTTTTCAGAAACTCTCTGGGATCCTCTGCTTGAAAAAAAATCTTAAATTTTTTAGTTCATGGAATAAAAGGTCACTTTTGTCATGCTGCTGCTAGCGTTGCAGATCATTAGTTACATCTCAAAAGTCAGAGTTTTTGGGGCAGAATACTCAAGTATATTACTGCTTCATTGCTTTCAAAACGATGAAGATGGGAATCAGAAGTCTAATGCTTCCTAACATCTCCAGAATACTTGCAGTAAAACCCAGAGCTAATGGCAAGAGAAAAGATGGACTTTAAGACAGCTACTATTACATTTGTCAGACCAGAAGTAAAAGTCCAAGTAAGCAAGCAATGAATGAGTCAATGGCTCCCAATCTCTAAATAAGACAGAAGCGTACAAGTGCAACACAGCGTGGACCCAAAGCTAACCGTCTCTGCCTGACCTATTCTGCCTGCACAGGGCCCAAGGAGATGTGAAATATCACCAGTTTGAAGCTGAAAGTGATTGGACTACGTTGCAAGACCTCTGGAGAATTTGATAACGACATATTTTGTGATAGCCTCAAGATCCTCAATCACATAAGGTGCCCTCTGCAAAAACATTTTTCATTTGCAGAAAACTAAAGACTTGAAAATTAACCTGATCTGGGGAAGCATGTCAGGACAGAATATGAAAAAAAAAACAAACTTTAAGCTGCCTTTTAGTACAACTGCCCATAGAATACTATTCAGGTGATAAAATTATGACACGGGTGCTTAAATAATCCTGTACTCAGTTTGCAAGGAGGAAGAAGCCACAAAAGGTTAAAGAAGAATGCTTTATTCAGCTTTCAGCTCTCACAGTTCTAAACAGTAAACATAATTAACAATTCACCCATGGTACTGGAGAACATAGTCCTGGTATAAGTAAAATGTCTACTGTTTAAGGCACTGATAGTGGGAAGAAAAAAGAAAAAAGACATAACATGGATTGCTCCTATTTAATCAGAATTCGAATTATGAATATGTGCTTGCTATTCAAATGCTTAAATTCCACAAGCTACATTCACAAACACATGTTTATACAGCTTCAGTAATTACTGAAATAGGAATCAGTGGCTCCCCTACTTCGACTTAAGAGCAAGTACTGCATTACTTTGGAGTGGAATCAATTTTTAACCTACTAAAAGAAAACAAAACAAATTACTTCAGCAGTATGGCTTTAAGACCCTGTATTTGGTTACAATATAGCAAGCGAAGTTAAATAACAGCATACAAGTGCCATATACTGTCATCTTAAAAGGAGCTGTTTTGCAGTATAAAAATTAGTTTAGAACATAGTAAAGCCAGTTTTTGTACAAACATTTTTACAAAACTGAATTACTCAAAGAAAAAAATCAAGAATATTTTAAATATGAATCACTCTTTACATGTTGTATGCATAAAATTACTTATCTTGATGATATAAATTAGGAATACTACAAAATATTAAAGCTGGCATCCATATAGTATTGAAATGCACACATCAGAAATACTGAAGTGTTAGTTCTGCAAAAATCCTTAAGAGTCAGATTTATACTTGCCAAATAGATACACAGTGACTTAGGTTTCTAGAGGAGCCACAGTGACCTCCCGTGGCCACTTAAGAAATCCCCGTCCTAAACCTTTTTTTTGATTTTGAACATGATATTCCTCACAAACGCTAATAAACTTAAGTAGTACAACAGTGGTTCATGCTTGGTCCATCTATCCCAGGAAACTACAATATTTCTAGCTGAAATGAGTAGAAAGGAACATAGCCTTCACACAGTCTAGTTCCTGGTCACAGAAAGAAACTCATGTCTCTTCTCTGATTGATCAAGAACCTGTTCCAGAACAATTTAGAGAACTGTTTTCTGTAGGTCAATGAGAGTCGATGTTCAATAGATGTTCAACACATGTTCAATATTAGGCTCCCAAATTACATCACTTCAACTTTTGAGAGAACAAAGGAAGGCGATGTAAATTGATGCTGTCTGACTCAAAGTCCAAACCAGAACACAGATAAATTTGGACAAGACATTTTAAATGTGTCAAGTTCATTGGTATACAAAGCCCAAAAACATTTTAGAAAGACACCAAGTGTAACAAAGAATCCAAAAGTCAATTAGGCGCCTTCTTCCATTGCTCTGAAGGAATGTAACAAGCAGGAACAAAACATTGTCTTCTATGTCATGAACAGATGAACAACATGAGAACACCACAAAAATCACAGTAGTAATTGTCTCTCATCTGCAGTACATTAATCAACACTTAAATTCTTCTACTGCTTATAAATCCTCCCTGTTATATCCAACTTTCTTTCCGTTAAGTGACTGTTCTGTGTTTGGTGCCAGCCATGTGAAATACACCTTCACTGGATCAATATTCCAATGCTTGTGAAACGATACTGGAATTTGGTGAGAAAGGTAGCCTTTTGGGTAGTCCATTGGCCGTGCCTAAGATGGAAGAATAAACCAAAAGCACTGGTACTCAGTGATGAAGAATAATTTCAGAACAAGAAAGTATCACCGTTCAATGACCTCTGTATCATAACAAAGCAACGTGGCATTGACAAAACATTTGTATATTTAACGAAAGGGTTTTTACATCATTCTATTAAACCAATTGATAGGGATTAGTTTAGATCTTCAACTTGCGCTGCAGTCATCATGCTACAAAGTACACTGATATTAAATATGCCCTATTTCTCAGGATGAAATGGTCACCATCTATGAAAGCAAGTGATAAACAGTGTAGTTTGTATTGCATCTTTTTAAATATACAATTTTGGTTCAATAATGACAGAATGATTTTAATATTCTCTGGCTCCTCTTCTTAATGAGAGTTGCCAGCACTGCCAGTGTGATTGTAGGATCCTAATAAGGCCACAAGCAGCCAAAATACATGAAGTTTTATGATGGGGAAAAGTTACCAAACGCAGGAAACATTGTGGTGCCGAAAAACTGCATTGTTATCCTTTATCAAAAGGATTTATATCAAAAGAGACAGAATTACAACACAGCCACATGATGCAGCTGACCTCTTAAAGCACCAAGCATGTTTCATTTCCTCTGACAGTTTAACGGCATGTAAGTGCATCATTATACAGAAACACCCCACCTGTAGTGGTCCCGGGTAAAAACAACTCGATTTTCCCATTGTAAACAGAGTTTTTGTAAAGAGGAATGCATGAAAGGCACGCATGCATTTTTTTTCTAGATGTAAAACACAAGAAGAAAAGTGAGTGGTTTGGATACTGAATCACTGACTTGATGCCTAAGCTAGTAACTGATTTAATATCGCACACTTCAACTACTTATAGCGGTATTAATGGATTCTACATGCTGTGCTCTTCATGCAGTTCCATATATACTCCAGTCATAAAATTAGGCAACAGAATTTGACATTAAGAAATCTGAATATATTTACAAAAAAAAAAAAAAAAAAGATATTTAAACCACAGAGTGCTTATTTTAAAAAATTCCATTGGAGAAATCAAGAGGGAGCCCATCTCCCTCAAGGCTGTTGAAAAACCTTTGATGAATATTTTGGCTCCAAAACCCTGAAGAATTTACTGCAATTTAGTTTGGACAGAGACAGTTTTTAGATATCCGAGACCAAAGTTTTTTGCTGTTTGAAAATCAATCAGCTTTTTATTGAGCTATAGACAAAATATTGGTGGTCTGGTAATCTTGAAAGAATGAGATCTGCTCTGATAACCATCGTATTTATCACATTGCTCTCGGAGAATCATACCGCTTTATAGGTAGTTGACCTTAAGATACAAATTCCCTGACTTTCTTCTTCCTTATATTTTGTGGAATCAATTATTGTAATCTTGGGTTGTTTGTTTTGTTTTGTTTGTTTTTTTGTTGTTGGTTTTGGGGTTTTTTTTGTGCTAGAATTTGTATTTGGCATTTTACGAAAGCCAAATACATAAATACATTGCTCTTGCCCAGATTTTATATTTTAAGACTACAATCCTGACTGCTACTCAACACGGGAAGATTCCTGTTCTCTTAGTCTCATTACGTCACAAGCCTCTGGAAGAGGTTACAGAATACGTGCCTACCTTAGCATGTAGCAAACAGGAAACCGTTAAGAAAGAGCAAACACTGTTACATCATAGACTCCCTAAGGATGAAGATATCTTTGCTTCTGTTTCATAATATATACTCAGTACAATTTTGGATTCATGTACTTCAAGAAATATTGTACATCATAATATTTCAGTCAAGTCTTTAAAAAATAATTTTCAGGTTGATAGAAAATCCAGTTTTGGTTTTCTCATTTTTAAAATATTTGTTGCATAATAGTGGAATTCGTAGAATAAGCACACTCAATTTTTATTCAGTAGTCTTGCCCCCCATGGTTAATTTCTGTTCAAGGTATGTTAAATTAGAATTTGTTCCAAGCGACAGTAAAGATGAATTACAATTCAAGTGTAATTTTCTATGTGGAAAATGAAACTGCTAGGATTTCACTTTCAAAGTGATTCAGTATCAAATGTACACCATTAAGGATTACAAGGAGGTGCTTTGTTTTGTTGTGTAAGGGCCATTCCTACAAATCTGTAAAATGTGTTCTGTTCTTTCCGACCTTCCTTTAATTAGGTGTTTTTCTAGAAAAAAAGTGCAAGCACAAATTATTCAATAATTCTGTTGACTTTTAAAGATGCATTACTTTCTATACTGAAACAAGTAAGCGATGATAAACAAAACAGGAAAGCAAAGAGATACGATTTTTTTATATGGACACGGAATTAAAATATTGAACAGTGCGTTCTCAGTCTTCCCATTTCTCTAAATAGTAAATGTAATCAGAAAGAAAATCTTAATATAGGAAAAACTCATAATTTAAATAGCAAACTTTTCCCCCCACTGACAGCTGCTTTGAATTACATGGCAATTTACTAATTTTCAAGTAGCCTATTCTCTTAATCTCAGTTCGTATCAGCTACACAGGTCTTCCCAGTTTTTAAACTAGATTAACACCTGAAAAACATTGACGACTACACTGATTTAAATGCTGATTTTTAAAAAAGTTGTGCACTGTTTGGGAAAAGTCATAAGTGCTTCTCCTCTTTAATGCCACGGGAGGAAGATAAAGTATTTATTTGGTTTAGGAGGCAGCAAATCTCTCTGGGACTCAATGCGTTGTGTTTTCCACTGTGACACTACAGCTAGATTGTTAAATATTCTGGAAGACAGAAACAAGATTCAAATATATTCCAACCCAATTCTCCCAAACTGGAGAATATACTCACAAGTGAATTATGTTTTGTGACCTCTTTTTCCCATGTGCTAGCATAGGGCAATTTATCATATTTATACCATTCTTCAGAATCCACCAGAAAAGCAACAGTTCTCGGAATACTTTTACATTTTATATCTTTGCTAATGAGATATTTCCGAATAGTAAACACTGAATCAATAGAAAAATTGGATAAGTAGAGAAGACAAATTTACTGAAAAATTTCACAGTCAGTTCTCCATTACCTGAAGAAAAAAGTATTGTGGTGCGGGGTTTTTTTTCTTTTCTAAAAGGACATATCACAAGCATTCAAAGCATGTGACTCCTAATTCTATTTGGTTTTTAAAGTTCCCACCTCTGACTGTATTTTTTATAAAATGCATTTTTTATAAAATGTAGTCACAGGGTAACTGAAATATCTTACAAAGTATTAAAGCATTGTAGTAATCCATGCTTTGAGAATACTCTTATTTGCTTGATCAAACTTGTTCTGGAGTGAAATAAGGTATAGCAGCAGCAGCAGCATGGTTATTGTTATCACACATCGATCAAGCTTGCAATATTTATGAGTTTGCAATATTTATGAGTCCTGTTTTACACGTATACTTAAAAGAGTGAAATATATTTTAAATACTAGTAAAAATAACTCTCTGACCTGATGGAAAAGTGGACTATGTGTTATAGGGATTCCTAAGCCACTGAAACACATCCCAAGGACCATATCATCAGGTGCGTCCATGCTGTAACACCGGCATTTACTAGCAAGTAGTTTCTGAACAGCTATTCTGCTGAAAACCATCCTGAATAAAAAAAGCAAATTAAATGTATAAGACAGTAACTACTAGAGAAGCCAAATGACTGTAATTAATAAGTATTGCTAAATGATATAAAACTGCAAGGCAAAACATAGCCCTCTGGTGCAACATATCTGAAATTTCAAAATTTGAGAAGTCAGTACTGATAAGTAGTGCAAGAGGCATTTTCTGAAACGTAATTACTTTATACCATGAAAATTAATTATAACAATTATGCCAATTGTTGTTATTCCAACAATTACTTAGCTAGCCACCGTTTTTACCACAGCTGATAATTCCTCCTAAATTAGGCCAGGACTTTAAAGGGATATTCTCCTCTATCTTACTCAAATGTATTGTCCAGTTAGTTATCATGTAGTGATTAAATGAAAAGAACTCTAAAACTGAACTGTCGTTCCTTGAATCCTCGGTTATACTGAGTTCTCTCCATAAGTGAAAAATGTTCCTTGAAGCCATTGCAAGGCTCTCCTGTTCATCTTAACTTTCTTGCTCATCTAAATATCAATCAGAGCCTGGAGCTGTTAGATCATTATCACTAAAATAAGCCTTCAATAGACCAGAAACATGATGATGTCTTCAATTCAACAGCTGAGGGAATATACTCTTGTCTAGTATTCCATAGCTGCCTTTTCTGAAGTTACATCATCCACCCAGTCTGATCAGAATACAGGGTACTCTAGCTACACGTTATACTAAAGAGATTCACACTCCGAAATCGCTGCATGGCTTCATGAGTTCATTCACTAGATAACAATTCTTTGCTTGACGCTGGGACATGGCAGAACTTCTACGAATACTGAATGCTAAGGCAAAAAGACTGACCTGAGAAATCTGTCAGATTAAAGTTGTAAAAGACTCCATCACTATCATTGCAACTTTGAAGACTGCATGTATCATAAAAAGAAAAAAAAAATGGAGAGCACAGTAGGAAGTAATATCTCAGTGCTCAGATCAAATAGAGAAGGAATACTAAGCTAGAGCCTTGGAATAAAAAAATAAAAATAAAATAAAAAAAAAAAAGAGTTGGGACTTGTGACCAGCATGTGTTGCTACACAGAAGGTGTGACGTAAATTGCACACATTTGGTGAATATTCTTGCTAGTTGATTATCTGGACTGTGTCCCTTCAGTTACACAGAATTCTTCACTTATAACAAACCTTCTCAAAATTAGGGTATGGAGCAAGATGGATGACATGTGCCTCTATATGCTCAAACTGGAGAATGAAAATAACCCCCAGACTTCCACATCTGGATGACAGAATAGAAACTAAGAGATAAACACTAAAAAAATATAGAAGTATAGGACTGGTAACCAACAAACATACCAGCACCAGTGGAAGGTTTGTTTCTTAACTCAAGCATAAACCCTACTTAAGTGAGATCGTGCGCAACTATGCAAAACAGTGAGAAGGCCATACAATTGATTTTTACTTACTCGTGGATGGATAAGAATCTAGTAAGTTATTATAGCCATTACTTTTCACAGAGAAAGACACTAAGGACATTCAGACGTCCACACTACTTCCTTTAGACACTCAAGATGGACAGATCAGAGTCTTAAAGATTGTTCTTATTGCAATATGAGCCAACCTGAAAGTTCATATACACATTCATTTACGTCAAATCTTGCACACAATCACAGGGACCCCTGTGTCTCATGCATGAGATCAACCCACAATGATCTGTTTCTATGAGAAACTATTTTCCAGGACATCAACATCAAACTCCTTGCTCAGCCAAGTCTCCATAAATCATTGCATGAAGTTCAAAAACAGAAGAATCACTATAATTTTTCTCCATGCTTGCACAGACAGAGAGAACAGGAAAGAACATTCTCATTGTGGTAGTTTGTATCCCTAGGTGTGCTGCTTTGGGTTCTCCTGCAAACTGCACAACGGTCCAGATCACAAGTGTGTTTTTTTTTAAGCAACTATCCCAACTGTCTCTGCTTACCACACCTTGAATCACATTGTAAGATGGCCTCTGAGTATGCAGAATGAATTCTATCCAATGAAACAAGGCTGCATGATGTGTATCAGGAGAACATGTAGTGCAGATAACTGGTAATAGGCACTCAGTTCACAGGACCAGTCAAGCCAAAATGACCCCTCCTGAAACATGCATGGTCCTCAGCACCAAGTGCTTTGCTCTACAAATCTGATCCCAATGGGCAGCACAACTTCTTACTAGTTAGGACATTTGGGTCTTTGAGCATCATTACGTTTTAATTGTACTAGGAAACATCACTGTTTCTGTTGCAGCTGCTTTGTGCTGTAATTCAAAACATTTACATTCAAAGCACAGACTGATGTAGATCTCAGTAGGAGTTTAAATAAATTACCCTCCGCCGCCAGTGATATAACTATATCCTCCTGTTCCCAAGCCGTAACCGTAACGCTCTCCAAGAAATACTGGTTCATTTGGGTCATAGCAGCTGAGCAATTTTCGGAGCCTGAAGATACTATAATACAAAAATCCATTAAAAAAAAAAATTAAGTCATGTAGACATTCATTTTGAAACAGACATTGCTAGCCTAAATGGCATTCTAGTAAATAGCACAAAAATGACAGGAGAAATTCAGAAATTCTACAAAAAACAGAGATACAAACTTTTAAACAGAAATTTATGATGGGTTATTTACTATGAGATACGATCGCTGAATTTGGTCAAATGATGAATCAATTAGCTTAAAAATATTTTTCTGAAGAAGCAAGTAAAGTTTCTCAACAAAACTGAGTCTCATCTCAGAGAAAACATGAAACTATTTTTTCCAAACAATGGCAAGATCTTTGCAAATTATCTTTTCTCCCCGGGAATTGAAAAAAAAAAGGTAGATTTAGTTATATGAATATGGCTTTATCTACAGTTACAGTCTCTTCCAAATTCTTCTTCTGTCACATCATTTAATGTAAAGTATTATCTTGAACCACTTATTCTCATGCTCATGACCATGTGATCCTGCTGGTTAATCACTGTGCCTTATTTTGCTTATACTGCAGTGTCAGTTTTCATGTGAATGGGATCTATTTTTCTAACAAAGACAAGCCCCTGGACACCATTCTGGGTGGCTTTGACAACTGATCCTAGCTTACAGAACCTTTCTTCTGGCACTTTTATGTGAGGAATACATCTTAGAAAATGTATTAGCAAATGACTAAAACCAATCGTCTCAGACATGCCTACACCGAAGAATCACAACGGGTTGCAATTTGCAATTATATTCAGACTATATGATTACATAATAACACTAATATGCATAGTTTTTATCAAGTTACAAGATCACATTGTTTTTAATACCAGTCAAGGAATGCTGAAGGAAAGTGACAATTTTTTTCCTTGAAGGAATATAACTCCACATTAATAAAACAGCTGTATCTCTTAAATACAGAAGAGATGAATATTGCTAAAACTCCTATTGACATGAACAGTGGCAATTCCTGATATATTGAAATGTATACCTTATCAGTGTATCATCATCCACTATGACTAACCAAGGAGTTCTGGGAGAGCTATGATTCAAAAACCTTTCCAAAATAGCAAAAGTTTTCCCACAGTGACCTAAAGGAAGAGAAATAACAGAATATGTAAATTTAAACAAAATGAGATCTTGGAAGAATCTAATTGCAAACAGTCTTTATTCATCTAGATTACAGTTGATTGTTTAAAGCAATTAGTGCTACCATTATTACAATTACTAAACAAGCATTAAAAAATAAGGATAGGATACTATATTTGAAGCTATTTCCAGTAAAAATATTTTTTGAGAAAATGCAGTAGCTCTCAGCTTAAGAAATGAAGGAAGTCCTAGCTTTGCTGATTTTGTGAAACCATGAACTTAATGCAGACTGATATATAAACATTTACAAAATCAAAACCAAGATTTCTATATTATATTCCATGACAAAAGATGGACAAAAATAGTACTAGAGTAAACTCAGCACAATTTGTTTAGTTTAGAATGCCAGTAGCCCACAGGTGCCACTGCTCCCCACAGCAATGCGCAAAGGCCATACGTGGTGGAGCCTTCCCCCTGGTGTGGCTGGAACTACTGGGCACAGCTTCTACAGACGATCCACATGCGCCCAGCAGGTCTGCTGCCTCCTGAAAACACTCACTGGTTGCACGTGTCACACTGCACCTGTGCAAATGGAAACCCCCGCCTATTCGCTCTCTGCCTCTAATAGACCTTGTGGAGGACAAAAAAAGGACACCTGGAAATAATCCAGAGATCAGAACAACTGACATAGTGGGCCAGATAAAGTTAATAGGCCACAGCTCGGACACCTCTAATTCAGAAGGTAACAGCCTGTAGCAGAGACTGTAAGACTAAGAACAATAGGTCAAATGAAAGAAAAAGCCCTAAAATCATTAAACTCATGGTATCCATCATATCCATAGCCTTTTTTCTATTCAAACAAAAAGTAAATTACTTTAAAACCACATTATTTGTCATAAAAAGATCTTCCAATCTTAACATTTAGGTTTTGTGCTTAAATCAAGACATACTAGACACAAGCATATAATATTTTAATACCATATGGCAAGTAGTTTATGCCCAGTAACCAGCTGGCACTGTCTGAGGTCTTTTGACATAAATCTATGACTTCTGCTACCACTGATGATATTACTCAAGATCGTCAATAACTCACGAGTTATTACTGTTACCGAGGGCAATACCACCAATTTTTGTCTTTTGGAGTATATCAGTGTACCATGCTTTCATACTCAAAGTATTTCGGTTTCTACTAAAAAGAATGTGCTACCTACGTAGGTGAACTGTACTCTCCATCCATCTCCTGTGTGGCAAAAGCATTCTTTTAGTTTAGGCTGCACAAACGTGCTACAGAAATACAGAATTTCTGAATTATATACTATGCATGAAATATACGTATCATCCATAAAACTTACCATCTTTAGACAGTTATTTGCGCAAAACTGACAACAACAGTCAATAGCTCACCTCTGTCAGTATTAGGTACGCCTAAATCTATAGTAGGAATGGAGATGTCTGCATAATCACTGTAGTATTCAATAAGGGCAGCTTCTCTTTCCCAAGTCTGCTTTACAACTGGTACTGCAAAACAATCATTGACATTGAAACATAAGTAACTTGATTAAAATAAGTACTTGATCAAAACGTTTATGCACCTTGCTAATTGATATATTCCTTTGCATGGTAATGAAAATGCTGTTTCAAATACAGCATCATGGTTCTAAACATTCATTCTTTTTTCTTTCCTACAATATTTAGAGAGAAACAACAATACATTTTTATGAAATCCAGTCAGGGCAGTTTTATTTTTATAGTAATAAATTTTCTTTTAAAAAAATACTATAATTTAATTCATATTACATTGAAAACTGTGATGTTTACATTTATGCTAACCCAAGTGTGGAATTCATTACTTTTACACTTGCTATGGTAGACTTTATAGTACATATCAGCATGAACACTATCAGAGATCAATCATTCTCCCAGTATTGAAACTGTCGCATTTTAAAAACAGCACATCCAACTGTACAGCATATAAAATATTCTGAATCAGAAACAGACTAAATGCACCTTTTGAAATACTACGCTTGTGTTATATACATCATATGTGACAGCAATGTCACGTTAATGCTGAAAAGCACCTGTCTCTGGAGACACACTCACAGAAGGACATTTATAAATACCATACAACCCATTTTTATCCCATGGAGGTTCTTTCTAAAGGAGGACTGCTTAGTGTTTCTTTACAAGAGCAATCCTCTTCTTATTAGTTTGCTACTTGACACAAACATTTAAAATTGATCATACAAAATTCTAATAAGGATGCTACAAATATTTGGGAAAACTATAATTCCACTTCTGTGCCATTGTGCAATGGACAATACTGCTTTTACAAGTTTTAGACACTTAAATTTTTGCATTAAAAAATCCAAAAGGAATTAGGTACAAAAAATATGTTCATACAACATGAAAGTGGAGTTTTGAAATGCAAACCCAGGAATTTCACAATACATTAACTCTGCCTCCTATGTACTAAAAAGTCACTTTACATCATATAACAACTGTATAATCATGCATTGACAGAGAATGCCATGTAAACTTTTTTTCCCAAATAGAATTAAAAAAACAAGTAGGCAGGAAATTATTTTCTTATTTTGCGGAAATGTTCTATTTCAAAAGTGTTTCTCAGGAGAACAAAATCAGAGAGCTTTCAGAAAGGCCCCAGTACAGAAGGGTCACAGATATACAAAATGCTTCCAACCTTCACCTGGCAGAAGAGATGCACCTGTAAAGGCTGTTTCACCTTTCTCCAACCAAGGACCTCAACCTCAGTAGGGCGCTTTAACACACACAACTATTGGCTATTACGGACTGAGCCTTTCAATTTCTTCAGTGGAGTCCCCCTTTTTTGTATAAATGAAAAAAGTTCGCTGAAGCAAGGGCCCGAGTCTCACATCAGTTAAGTGGTCTAACAAGGGGGCTACTAGCTAAAGTGTCTTTCTCTTTTCCTTGCTTGTTTTGATGGAAGTGTCACCACCCAGACTAATGTCTATTGGAAACTGAATCCCATACTACTTTGTAATTTCTAACAACTCGTATGTTCCAAAGAAAGAACTATTTGAAATTTCTGACTAGCTGTTGATGCAAATATTTATCAATATGTATTAATACTTGCGATCACACGGAATTTTTAATACTGCACTACTGAGATCTACTTATAGAAGGTCAGCTCTAAGCTCTTAATTATATTTTATTTGTGGTACTTCTAGGATTGTGATGCATGTTTGCAGTCTTGGAATTTTCTTATATAACCATATACAGTATGTGTATGAAGGAGAGTTATATCTGAATAAGTTCTGAAGTAAAATTTAGCAGCTTTTGCACATCGAATTCTAAGCCTTAATGTTGCAGTAATGTAGTTTTTGGCATACAATAAAAAATGACTTACCAGGTAAAAGGAGCTCTCTGAAGCTGGCATCCATTAATCTTTCAAAATCTTGAGTAAGATTATCCTCTATTGCATTACACTGGAAGCTGTGAGGAAAGTTCAAGAATTTTCCTCAGTCTTCAACAGGTGTTTCTTGAAGGATGTTTACGCTACCTTTTTGAAGCCTTATGTTTTTTACTGACCTTCTAGTTTGTTTTTTTTTTTTTTTATTTTAATTTTGATGTAAGAAAATAAACATGGATCCAGAAAGGAGAACTCCTCAGTGAACTCCAATTACAGGATAGTCAATTTTGTTTTGTCAAAAGCTACTTGCTAAAGATACCCTAATGATTAGGTGATTAAAATACTGGAAATATGCCTTCATCAAGTGCCATAATATTAAGAAAAAAATTACATAAATCTTATTTTGAAAAAAAAGAACAACAACTGGCAAATAGTCTAAATATAGACATGACAGAACCTAGTTTTGGATGCATTAGCAAAAGGGGATTTGGTCAAGAGAAGAGCTTTTATCTTCATCCTGTCCTCAATAGGCGTGGCAAAACCCCCACAAAATTTGGTACAACTACTAGCCATTATTTAATTTTCAATTTTTTTTTGCCAATAATAATCACTTTAAATTAAGCTTAGGAACAAAGTAAGCCTAATGGCGACAATATTACATACCTAGAGTACATAATAATAATATACGCAATAATAATACATAATAATAATAATAATAATAAAGAGGGCACACAAAATTCAAGTAAATTCCTGGAAATAAATCCATTCCTGAATTTCCTTATTAACAAAATGTCTAGAAGTAAACTAGAATGGACTGGTAGGTGGCATCAAGTAGCTAGAGTGTCTTCTGTTAAATAATTGGATTTGGAATTTTTCCTTCCAAGTTTTGTAAACACTGGATCTACCTCAACTTAGCTGAGCCTTACTGTGTATTAGCTGAAGCTGAGTGTCTCTCGGTGTGTCTCTGAGTGTCTCTCTGTGTCTGTATTTTCCGTGCCTCTGAGAAGGAAGCTAATACTCACTGGACGTATCTTGTTGGGCTGTGTTAGGTTTTTTTGTTTTGTTAGGTTTTTTTGTTTGTTGTTTTTACCATGGATATCATGGTCATTTTCATTCACCATTTTCATGGTGACTTTAATTACTTGTATAACACTACAATTTCCAGATGAAACATGCTATAGCGTTGCACACATGGAGACTCCTGACCTGGGCCATGGCTTGTACAAAGTACTACAGCTGACCGGATTTTTACAAGAGACAAAATTTCCCATTCCAAGCATTACAAAACACCTGTGCACATCCAATTGCATAGGGAGACAACAGATAAAAGTAATATGACAGCATAAGTTGCTCAATCTTTTATTGGGTGGGAGGGCAGGACAAAAGGAAGGGGGAGAGGAGAGAGAGATTTCAGCTTGCTCTAATTTCTAAATACAGATGCACAATTGTCACTGCTAGTACAAGGAACAGAACTGAACCAATTATGTGGGGGAAACACACCGAAGGATATTAATAGTTGCTATATTAATTAATATTGTGACAGCTCCAATTTACATCAGTGTAAGCTAACTTTATGTATATTTTTCATTTAGATATTCAGTTTCAAGATTTTTGCCCATCAGTCACTAATGATGAAACATCAAACAACCACAACTTTGTCTTAAACATTTCACAGCACTCCTGAAGAACTCTGAATACCAAAAAAAATTTACCTAAAGAATAAGCCATTTACAATTCTGAAGCTTTCATGCTTCCCAGTGCATTTTGCAAATATTCAGTCCTAGAGCTACACAGACAGCATATTTCAGCTTGTTTTTTAAATATTAGTTTCATAAACTATATTGCACAGAAGTACTACCTTAACTAATCAATAACTTACTTCTGTCACCATGAAATTTCCGACATGTTTTTACAGCAACAAAAACATCTTCCTTTTTCACTGGCTCTCCCTATATGAACAGAACAAAAATTAATTTTTTATTTGCAGGCTCTGCCTGTAACATTTTATACTATATGTATGGCCATACATACATTAAAACAGAAAATATCTTTTCATTGTATAGCATATCAAGTAGGATAGTGTACTAGTAATACACTAGAAAGTACATTTTTGTCTCTTGAAAAAAGGTCACTAGTGGTTTAAAATTCCCGAAATAACATTATTAAAATACTTTTTCCATTGATGTAATATTCTAACGTGAACTAAACCACACATCATTAGGAAAAGAGAATGATAATAGAACTTGCTGAACCAAGAATGATTCACCTGAAAAAGAATGTTTTCTTAATTTCTTTGAAATTAATCACTGTGACAACACATTGAACTGTATCATACTTGGAAAAGAAGCTTAAATGCTACACACTAGAAATTTTTGTATTTCTTCAACTGTAATAAAATAATTTAATTACTTCTATTTGGTTTCCTTTTTGGCACCTAGACTTTTGCTCTCCTGGAAGCATGAAACACTTTTTGGCCTCTAGCAACAATTAATCCATAATATCATAAATGTCTTCTCCTGGAGGTGGAAGAGGTGGGTTGTACTTTAATACACCAAATACTATACTACATTTTATCTTTAGCCTCAACAAGTTTTAGATTCCTATCTGTGAAAAAAAGATTATCTACACTTCAGTATCTCACAGAAATGTAAGGAGAAATACTTTATAGATTATGGGCTGCTCAAACATTGTGGTAGAAAGACCCATTAAAGCATATGTGATATATGTTTGCCAGGAAATATCCTGTGCCACGGAATGCTGAAAGCATATCCAAAACCAGATAAATGCCAGAACAAACTTTTTTTTTTAAACTTATTGAAAAATATTTTCTTAAGGTTTTAGATTTTTTGAGTCAAGTATCATGCATTTTAGCAAGAGTTTTACCTTTACTAAGCAAGCAGTATTTAAAATATGGTACTTACACAAAGAGGCAGAAAATTACTGAATGTTGTTGCACAGTGATCAACCTTATATGAGTTCACATCATCTGTGCAGAACTCAGGCACTGGAGTAAGATGTGGTCCTTCCCCTTTCTGCCAAATATACAGGGCAATCTATCAAAATAGAAAACATTTGTATCAGTAATGAAACTGGATAAAAATTCTCAGGGCATACAAAGAAATCATATTACAGGACAAACTTAACAGGAAAACTGAAAAATATGGGATGCTGCAGAAGATTTGTCCCATAGTTGATTAACTAGCTGCATACCTTTCTCCTTGCTCACATTTCTAGAGCCAACATGTAATTTTTTTGCTATAAAAGAAATTCTATAGACAGACAAGTTTCAAAATTTCATAGAACTACAATTAGTTTCATATATTTAAGCATGTCGAAACAACTCATCTTTAACTTTTATAAGAAGTGGTAAAGTGAATATTTACACCTTCTTTTAAAGTAAACAAAAATTCTTATTGTGTCACTCTTTTAAAATTATTGTGATCATTTAGCATAGCTAGGCTTGTTTCATCCTATGTGGCAATTTTCAGCTTTTCAAAATAGACCCATTCTCTGGTGACATTTTAAAATGCTCGAAATCAGTAACGGAACTCTGAGAAGCTGTAAAGTACAATGAAGGATAATGTAATATATATGCTATCCTATAGTAGACTCTTGTCCATTTTAAATGCAACAACAACAACAAAAAAAAAGCCAGCCAAAATTTACAGGGAAAAAGGAAGAAGCAAACCAGTGATATCTGAAGATTAAAAAAAAAAACCCCAACCTCTGTATTTACATTCAATTCATAATAAAAATAACAATATTTCAATCTGTATTTCATGACACATCAAGAACACTGAGACTTGCCCAACATTTCTATTGTAATAGTTTTACACTGCTTATAACTTTCCCAGACTAAGTATTCAGGCAGGAAAGTTCTACGCTGGATACCTACCTCAGACCAGTTAAAACATTAAGTTCATTTTATATAAAAAACTGCTCAGAAACTTGTAAGAACAAAATGAAGTTCTTAAAAATCTAAAAGGCAGAAAATAATATCTCAGTAAGCATGTGGATTCAGAGGCTCCCAGCTGCACCGCCATACACTCCCGATTCTGAGCGCTTTGTCTCTCTTGAGGGTAGGCCAAAGATGTGAAAGCATCTTTGGACAAGAGCTATTTCAGCATATACTCAAGATGTAGGAGATCTGGGTTCTAGGTTTGCTTCTGCCTCAGTCAGAAGTTACAGCTTCTAGTTTTCAAAAGGGTGTCTACACCAAGAAACCATAGATATTCTGGGACAAAGACTCTCCACGCTACCTCATGAAACTGAGTTACTGTGCAAAAAGTAAGATTCATGGAACCAACAAGATAGTGTAGCAAAGGAGAGCCTGACTCTACTGCACAGGGAGAATGGGACTCCTCCAAGGGAAGAAAACCAGTCTTGGGGTTTAGTTCCTGTTTCCCGTGTTATTTACACATATTCCCAATGACTCTTGCATGGAAAACAAGTGCTTCACTGGAGTATGGGACCAGACCCAGCACACACCAAAGGCAATGAAAATGAGTCTCCTTTTCACTGTTTTATGCCTGCTTAGGGGCTCTTAGCTTTAACTGGCCCCTGCCCACCAGGCCAGAATTCTGCTCCTGTTTTAGCAAATAATGTGATCATTAAGAGGGCAAAATATTTCGTTCTCCCCAGTGTTCAGGAAGAACTCAGTGCAAACCAAGAGCATTAACTATGGTCTGGACAAGCCCAAGTCACCAAACCAATTACAGACTTCTGAGTTATAGATGATTATTTTCCTGTCCGTCTCATTTAGGTCTCAACATCCTCAGAAAATCCCAACTACCTGCACACAGCCATTTCTGGAACTTAAAGGTAATAAAATAGAAGGGGCTGTTTGCTATAGGCCCTGTTCAGACTGGGGGCAGGCTTGATATTGTATTGATTATATAATAATATGTTTGAAACTTAAGCTTCCAGATTTGAAAGATTCTTGATAGCAAACAGCTAAGGTACAGTCACATACTAGAACACAAATAACTGATGACTTTTTAGCAAGTTGCTGATTGTAGCTGGGCTGTCGTAACTACACATGCGGTCTTAGACCACCTCAACTGCAGAGTAAAAACATTTAGTTTGATTGCACTGAAAACAGTTTAAATTACTGTATTTTTCCTTGTAATTGAGCAGATGCAGATGACCGGGAGCTGTAAGTACAAATGTGGTCGCTACTATTGCTCAGCTGCTAGTGACTCGCTACACCACTGTAACTCAGCTTCAGGTTCTTTCAATACAACAATGAGTTTTGTAGTTTGCAAGTTCTAATTTCTCTTAGCCTCACCATTATTAAGTGGTCTGTTTCTTTGCTGTTATCAATGTTTCTGAATATTTATCAACATTTCTTTGCATGTTATCAATGCTTCTGAAAACACAGATGATCTTAGCATTACAGATGAGTGCAACAAAGTACTACAGGGAAAGGCCACTCTGTAGGGAAGAAAATGCATAAGCATGAGCGGCAGTTAAGAAAATACCATTGACAGTGCTTGGAGTAGAGGAGGAGTACGGAAATGACATGTAACACATACACACTTGTGGTAAGGAGCAGCCAATAAACACACATACACCTCCAAGGTTATCTTTTTGTCTTGTCACCACATTCACATTATGGGATATAAGTTGTTCTTGACCTTGTCTTATAGTGGGAAGACTCCATAACAGCAAGGGATGGGATTTCTAAAGAGCTTCCAGTACATTTTAAGATTGTATTAGTTCACAATTCAGCTATTCAGAATTAATGTCTATCACATGAACCAACAAAGAAGCAATGCTCCTGCAGCACAAGGAATATTTAACAATTGTAACTTAACATGAATTATTTATGAAAGTTCATAATGTCCTAAACATTTCCCACTGAATAATGAAATCTTCAATACAGAGCCTTAGAATGGTGTGAAGCTATCATATTTCAGAAGTGAGGTTAGAGTGCCATTTTGGGTTGTAGAACAGGATGATAGACGGTTCCTAAAACAATGGAAATGGATTTACAATAAAAAGACAAAAAATAGTCTTAGTCATAGTTCAAATGTAATGTTAGATATACAAAAAAATCCAGTATTCACTTCCAGTTTTGAACAGGCATCAGGGAATATGCTATATATTGTGCAGTTACAAAAAGTCTAAAAAACAATCTACAAATGAGCAGCAGCATGACAAAAACCCTTTACCATATTTGCAAGATAGGTCTTCCAGATCGAAAGTGATATTAATGTTATGGATATAAGAAACAGGGACTTGGAAAGTTGTAGGGTGTAAAAAACCTGATACAGAGCACAATAAAATACCAAGGACTAGAGGCACATATTATTAGGACTCCGCCACACTAAAACATTTCTTAAAACACTTATCATCCTTCATAAATTTAAGCATTGCACACGATCATTAAAGATCACAGATTATATCCTTTGATTTCTTGTCAGTCTTGATTCACACAAGAAGGATGTAGAGACAAAAATGATTTAAGAAGGAGAAGATGGTGATTTATAAAATAAATGAGGGGGAATGGAACTGTCTCTAGGGAGACACGAGACTGTGCAGAAAGAATAACTACAGGGCTGAAGTAGGTTATCAGTAGCAATAAATTTGAAATTAAACATACACAAAGAACTGCTAACAGAATAAGAACTGGGTGGAAGTAATTTTGCCAGTCGAGTGATCAATTGTTTTTCATTAAGCAATCTGCAGCACATAAAAGAAATATCTGCTAACGAAGTTTGTTTTATCACACTATGTTTAGAGGCTTTGTCAGTGCTGAGGTAGCCTGAAATACTGGGAACATAGGAATGACTTTGAGGTAACTTACAAAAAAAAGATTAACAGTGTGAAGCCCAAGGTCTTGCATTTAGAAAAATTAACAAGAGGAAAGAAACAGCTTGTTGGCTTGTTTCAGGTAGAAAAATGAGAGGGGTACAAATGCTTCTTAGAAATACATTACTCAAGGGGGGGAAACTATGTGGAAGAATAGTGTTGGCACAAAACCAAATCATTTAAATATGCTACCAATTTATACTCTATAAATACACTGTAGATTTATGTTGGAAATGAGGAGATTTATAACCATTGCAGAATAAAGATCTGGAACAGCAGCAGTAGTTTTAAGTAAGCTGGGGTTTTTTTCTGGGCCAGAACCACAATTTATAGCTGACTTTCAGGAGTTTTAAAAAGTTAAAATGATTTCAACATCACTCATCATTTCAGGCCAAAATCAGCAAGCTTATTCCAGCTTCATCATCCCCTTCCACCCTGGTTCAAGAGTTCACTTTGGTGACAGCAGAAAACCCTGGGCTGCACAAACATTTTGAAGGCAGAAAAAATAAAAAAGCTTCAGAAAAGGTAGCACTGATCTTTCAGATCTCCCCACTCCTTTCTTCTCCTATTCCTTTCAACTTACTTATTTTCTGAAAGACCAGGTAGCTACCTTTTAAAACTGTTGCAAATCAGAGGGGAAAAAAAAATAATTCCAGACTTCTGTGCAAGTTGCCATGTTGCTTGTTCACACAACAGCTTGGTTTAAACAGCTTGAGGAAACTAAGTCCATCATATCCAGCTCTTAAGAGTCTGATTTAGAGAGTGAGGCTGGCTAGTATCTGAGACACTATTCATGTCAGCTTAAGCTTCATGGATTGGAAGTCTCTCTCCTTTATTGACCAAGCATTAGAAGATACCTTACTGTATACAAACAAATATGCATTCATATAGGAATGCAATTTTATTCATTAGCTCTTCAAAGTTTGAAATAGAGTTTTAAAGTATTACAATACTCTAAAGGAAGGGAAAGAAATTAAACATGCCATTGCATTCAAACTTTTTAGCAACATCTAAGAAAAATCTGTTATTTTCATTACCATTTATTACCATTCAAATATATAGATTTGAGATAATTTTTTCTTTCATCACATCACTGCTTACCTCATGCTTTAAATCTATTGTAAAGTCTGACTAACCATATTAAAAAAAATCAATCACTAGTGTATGCAGCAAAATGTGGCTGGTATTACTGACCATCTTATAAGGGGAAAAAAAAAAAAAATAAATAAATCACACTTCTGTATTTATTGCCCCAAGAAGCAACTCATTTCTTTTTCATATCATTTTTTTTTTCATCTAAGCACAGTGTGATGATGTTAATATTAGTTTTCAGCACACACATTTTGATACATTCTTCCTGCCCAAGAAGAAAGCTCTCATCTGGAGCAGACGGTAAGCCTGGCATAACATTTTCAACAGATTAAAAGCAGCAGTGAGTTTGAAGCTCAATATTGATCAGCATCTCAAACTTCAGACAATATTCTCTTTTTGTGTATTCCAAAGCACAGTATTTAGGCACTTTCAATTTATGAAAACATCAATCCTTGCTACAGCAAGATGTGTTCAACTTCTGCAATCTATGAACTTTTCAAATCTCATTTAAAAACTAAGCATCTAATCTAAAATAAACATCTGGGTTGTCTCTATAGCATGAGAAACACTTCTAGAGGGCAATGCAGTCATTCTAAGATCCAGGAATACAACTGCTGTCTAGGGAGAATACATTTTTAAAATTACAAGAGATGGTATTGAACTAGTTGAACAACTAGTACTAAACAACTATTAACTAGCTGACATGACGTTAACTTTTAGATACGCAGAATGAAGCAAAATAAATGACACACAGAGCAATGATACAGAAACCTATTTCTGTACTTTTGTCTACTAATGAATTCTTAAGTGTTTATTTATAATAATTAAGCTTGGAATGTGTAGAATAAGAAAGAAATGGAATTTTATCAAAGAAGTATTTTCTGGGTAAGTTTATAGTGGGAGCACAAGTCTGTGTAGGCATACCCAGAGCTAGCTGTACATTACTGTACCTGGTTGAATGTCTTGCTATGCACCTTAGATCCTCAAACGAAAGCAGGCTTACATGTACTGGCACGGATGTTGATAATATAGGTGGCAGCAGCAAAAGCTCCATGTAGGATCTGAAGTCAAATCCATGAGAGGCCAGCCTGCATTGGTTGGGTACATCCCAAGCTGTCTGCCATAGCTAAGCTGCAATCAGCAGCTTCAATTCAGACAGCTCAAAATTAAAATTTGACTTTGCATATCTACGTGATCTGCAATAAGACCTTCAACTGTACTGCAGGAACACCTTCATCTTTTATAATAAATATTAATCCATATGAAATCATAACTCATTAAAATAATATTGATTAGCATCTAAATTAAACATTCTTAATTACTATCTATAAACAAGAAGTGATTAAAAATTCAATTCTTACTTGTTAACAAGTGGAATGCTAAGTGCCCAACCAGCAGCAAAATCTGGAAATTTAAAGACTGTAGGATTTTCAGCAAAGGCATAATGGTGAATTATTGTAGATTCTTCATCATATAACGCTTTACCTAAAAACCACTCCTGTAAAGGAATATAGGAAACAATTTTGTTCATCTACAGCATCCTTTTAGTGAAGATGACGACTGCATTCATGCTGAATAAAGCAAACCTGAAAACAAAAACAAGGGAAGCATATTGTTCACAATAATCCAGACAAAAAATGTACTTGGTAAGAAAGAAAACTAAATGCAGTTCTCTGAATTCAAATACACACTATATTTTCAAACTCCAGCATATGCCCTGAATTCCACTTGTTCAAAGAGCACAGAATCCCAGAATCATAGAAGGGTTGAGACTGGAAGAAGCCTCTTGAGATCGCCTAGTTCAATGCCCTGCTCAAGCAGGGTCAGCCAGAGCACGTTGCCCAGGACTCTGTCCAGTCACGTTTTGAATACACTCCACAACCTCTCTGGGCAACCTGTTCCAGGGTTTGACTACCCAAACTGACTACTGACTAGAGAAGACACTCAAAAGCAGTGCATTCAGGAACTTTATATATACGTCCATTTTGAATTTCCATCTGTCTAGCCTCTTTTACACTAGGGAACTTAAAAAGCAAACACATTTTAAATACCTTGATCTTCAAAACAGTTAAATGAAGAAGGTCCCAAGTATGCATTTATAAAGTAAAAAATTAAGTAGTGGTATTATTATTAGAGTTTTAAATAACAGTGTTTCAGAATTTACTATTGACTCTGCTGTATCTGAAAATAATTAACAGACTTAAATACTGCTGCTTTAACATTACTCTCAGTTGTCTTAATCTTTCTGTTTAGAATGCATATAAAACAAGTATACCCCCAAATTTTTGCAAAGTAAGGACTGTAATGAAGGGAAAAAAGTCACATCCTCACTGGACAGAAGGGAAAAATGTCACATCCTCACTGTGTCTTACTACAACATCTTATGAGTTCTTACGATTCTCAAAGACAAACTGTCTTTTAAATAGATCTTTTATACCCTTTAGGTATCAACAGCTACTAAGTCATTGCTACCCATCAGCTTGGTTTACTCATTCTGGATATCTTTGAGCCTGCAGTCTACCATCCTGTTAGGATGACAGGAAGAGTAGTAGCACATACAATTTGGTTTAACCTTGCTGCCATCTTCCATTATGAAAGCACAGGTTGAATCAATCTGCTGTTGAAACATAGAATCACAGAGGGGTTGAGGTTGGAAGGGACCTCTGGGGATCATCTGGTCTAACTTCCCCTGCTCAAGCAGGGTCACCTATTACAGCTGGTTGCCCAGGACCACGTCCAGATGGCTTGTGAGTTATGTCACAAGATATGTGGATGGAGACTCCACAACCTCTTTGGGCAACCTGTGCCAATGCTCAGTCACCCTCACAGTAAAAGTGTTTCCTGATGTTCAGATATAATTCACCATCTGAGTGCTTGCCTTGAGGTCTTTATGTAAATGAGATATTCCTCACTGTTTTTTAGTTTTACTGCCGTCAATATCATCCTTGGTTATCAATGCAGGTCATTCTCTTAACATACCTCTACAGTCTCTTACGATGCTTTCACACATCTGTTTTCACTCAATATTACATTCATATCAGTCTGAATAGTTCTGTTACTAATCTCTACATATCCAGATTGAAAAGCTGCAGATTCATCAACTATTCACATGCCCGTTGTAGACCTTTTATTGTGATTAATGTATACCAGCTTTTTATTATGCAGACTGCTGACATTTTAAAATGAATAATGAATGAGCTCATTCTGGTCTAACTCATCTTAAATTTTGTGACTGATGGACTACCACTGTATATAAGGAATCAGTTACAGGCTATTACACTAAGATGACAATTACTATGTACAAAAGCAAAACATTTTACTTTCCTTTTAATGCAGGTTGAAACATAATTTGTTATTGTAATAGAATTTACATGTAATGCAAAGGAGAGATTAAAACTGGCATAAGGGCAGAATCTAGAACAAAAATGTTTATGTTTCTATTCTGAGAACATGAATTAGGAGTAGGTGTTTCTGAAACAGAAATAAATGGATATTCCAAAGGCCCGAATATATTCAGTCAGCCATTTTGAAAACAGAGTGTTTAGAAATGTAAGATCTCTAAATTACTATTATTACCATTTTAGAAAAGAATTGTGAGAAAACACAAGGCCCTGTGCCTGCAAAAGAAGTAAATATGCTAAAGTGAGGCCTGAAGCAGAGTTCAATACTCAGTCAAGGTAACAATAAAGAGGCAAAACAGATTTGCGCAGGAGATTTTGGCTTCTTTTATTCCAGGCAAAGGATGGGCATCAAGCTGAATTTTTTTCTGAACACTGAGAATTCTAAACATTAACATCTTTGACGTCAGTTGCATTGCCAAATTTACTTTGTTCCTTGGTGACTGCATTTTTCTTTTGTTCTGCAAGTCTTTTGGTGTTGGTTCTTTTCCAGCAGGTAAAGAAAACTGTCTTATCACCAAGACAGTTCAGAAACAGAATGCAAATAAAATACCCTACTATATTAGATCAGAGACAGTCAAACTAACATCAGTTATTCTGTCTCATGATAATCAGAAATGATGACAGACAGGAAAATGGGGAGAGGGGACCACACAGCAGACTATATTCATCTCTCTACTGATGCTACATCATTTTCAGGCTATCCACAGAAGGAATCTTTGCTCAATTTTAACAGTTATTCAACAGCTAGACAGGCGCTCATACTGCTTCACGTTAAATACCTTGCTCACTCTCAGCCTCAGCAACAGAAATCTATCCCCCTATTTTCAGCTGTTTGGATGCATCTTTTTCAGTGTTTGGAGACCTGAGCTACCCAGGCAGTGTTATAAAATTAAATTCTGGACCACAGAAACTGTTCCATAACTAGGAATTCTAAAATTCTGTATTTATAATTTTGTACTTAAAAATATTCCACATGTTTCATCTGAAAACCCATTCAGGCACATTCGAAAGAAAGTTAAATATCTAAATTTTTATTTCACCTTAGACCCGTCAAATCTTCCAAGTGTTTCTAGCAGCTTTACAACTTGTATTCTTGTATCTTCTTCACAGAAGAAAATCCATGAGGAGTTCCTACCATAGGTAACAGAGAAGCTAACAAAAGAAATTAACATTTTACTAATAAACTGGCTTATGAACAGAATGATAGATTCAACCCACATTCTCCAAATATACGTACTTTGCAATCAATTATTCATTTACACAGAAACATAAACTTTTACTACTAACTTGGAATTACATATTGAAGGACTACAGTGAATGGATAGCTGCTATCTATTTATATAGCACCAGTTATTCCAGAAAGAAGGGAATAGAGATACATAAAAAATGTCCACTCAGAAATATATAGGTACTACAAGGTCTAATAGCCACCTCTGAATTCAGAAGTTTATAGATAGCAGGTTAAGTTACCTTCCCCTCTATACTTTAACTTTCTTCCAAGGAGCCCCACTGTTGGGCATCTAACACCATTGCAACAATCATGAAAATGCCTAATGACAGGTTTTCTCACAGCTGTTTGACACCGATCATCCCCAACCTAAAAACTTGATTAGCTTTTTCAGTACAGTGAAACTACGCAGATTGAAGGGACTGCCTTACCTTCCTCAAAGCTAACGCTAATCTCAATGCAGGATTCCTGCCTCCTTCAGAAAACTCTCTATCCTTATTTCTCTACTCCCAGCTTAATCCTTCCACTACGTAACAAAACAAAGTCTTATTAATTCATGACATCCTAATGGGAAAAAAAAGCCCAATCTTTATTTCCTTTTCCAGTTTCCTTTGCATAGCTTTTACGTTGATTTAATTAAAAAAATAATCTGAGGAGAGTATTAAAAAATTAGCACCTCTAAACATCACAGATTTTTTCCTCTACAGCATTGTCTACTGATAAAATCAGCAATGAAAATAAATGGCAGAAACGTAAGTCAGAAAAAATAAGTTAAAAAGGGCGATACAATAATTTCTGTTTTAGGGAATGGTATTTGCCTAAAAAAAAAAAACCAAACAAAAAACCAAACCACAACCCAAACCCACTATCTGACAAATACTTATGCTAGAACATGTAATACCTGACTCTGCAGGTCTTTTAATTACACGCTAGAAGCACCAGATGGTTGCCAGGTGCTAAACTAGTTCAGTCTTCTTTCATCTGGGACAGGTCATTATGCTCATTTTTGCTAGGATAGAGTTAATTTTCTTCATAGTAGCTAGTATGGGGCTATGGTTTGGGTTTGTGCTGAAAACAGTGTTGATAACACAGGGATGTTTTAGTTACTGCTGAGCAGGGCTTACACAGAGTCAAGGCCTTTTCTGCTTCTCACCCCACCCCACCAGAGAAGAGGCTGGGGGTGTACAAGAAGCTGGGAGGGGACACAGCTGGGACAGCTGACCCCAACTGGCCAAAGGGCTATTCCATACCATATGACATCATGCTCAGCAATAAGAGCTGGGGGTAGAAGGAGGAAGGCGGGGACATTCGGAGTGATGGCGTTTGTCTTCCCAAGTAACCATTACACCTGATGGAGCCCTGCTTTCCTGGAGATGGCTGAACACCTGCCTGCCAATGGGAAGTAGTGAACGAATTCCTTGGTTTGCTTTGCTTGTGTGCGTGGTTTTTGCTTTACCTATTAAACTGTCTTTATCTCAGCCCATGAGTTTTCTCACTTTTACCTTTCTCATTCTCTCCCTCATCCTGCTGGAGGGGAGCGAGTGAGCAGCTGTGTGGGGCTTAGTTGCCGGCTGGGGTTAAACCACGACAGTCATCTTCCTATAAAGCTAGCTTTCCTCTGTGTCTTGCAATGGTATTTGATTATTCACTGCTTTCTGCTTATGATAATCTGCTAAACTATAATAGCCAGAAGAACTCACGATCCAGTCATCCTCTTAGTTCATAAAAGCATATACTTGTTGCCTACTCAACACTGAAATCTGGGCAACTCTTTGCCATTCAGGCAAGCAAACAAGTGCAATTAGCTGGGAAACACACTTCCTAGCTGTTCCTTCTAAAACTTGCCAAACAAGTACAGAAAGGGTATCAGATACTCTCATGTTTTTAAATATGTACAGTATCCAATGCTCTGTGAAGACTGAAGGCTTTTCTCTCACGCTTTAATGCTCAGCTAGAACTTCAGGAGAGAAATATCTGGATTTACACAAAAGCAGGTGGGTGAAGGGCAAGGAGAAAATACTAGAATAACCCCCACAAAAAGTATTACTGCATCTTGTGAATGCAGCACAAAAGTTCACAAGAAGAATGATCTGTTCATCTAGCTATTGATGGACAAACAGAATGATTTTAAAGTATATAAGGCCTGCAGAGAGTCCTATGTAGAACTCATAGCACACAGATTTGGAGTTCAGATTGCAAGCAGCCATTGGAGATACTCAGGTAAGATCCAGTTTCAGGGTAATAATTTTAAAAAGTGATTTCTTCTCTGCTTAGTTAACATGGTTACTGAGAAGAAATGTAGTGGGCCTTCTGGAGACAGTAAGGGTGCTGTGTCATAAGACATCCACTGATGCCTTATGATTACATCTTCTGAAATGAAGTATTTTGTCCAAGTTAACCTGTGCCCAAGAACTAAAAATTAAGAATTGTCGTAACCGTTTAGAGGCTTCCATAAAAATCCTGACAACTACAGAACTGAGGAAAGCCATTCTTCTGAAAGCAGTCTGCAGGTAAGAATGCATCTTATATCACAATTCTGAGCATCATCAGCTGCTGCAGAATGGGCTGATGTCCCTTCCTCCTCTTCTGTCCATTGAGAAAACTAAAGAGTACAAGCCCCACAACACTGACATACTTCTAAGTGGTAAGTGAAGCAGTAGACACAAGGAAATTAATGTTCCAGAATTCTCAAGATGGAAATCCTCTACTTTAGATTCCTCTTCTGATTTCTGAAGAATTTTCTTCTGCTTTATCACAAAAATGAGCATTTGTATTCTTCTTTCTGAGTTTTGCTATGAGAACTGTATCTGTAAACCCTGTCACCGGAACATAAATAATTCAGAAGAGGAACCACTAGGTCACTGAAACAAGAGCTAAGAAGGAAAAACAAAGATGATTGATAGTTGGAACGTCATCTTCCACTTTTTCAATTTACTTTAATTCTCCTTTTGCTTCTTTTCACAGTTTACATGTATCTCAAAGATAGCTACTATACAAGCACTATTTTCATGTTTCTACACACACAGAAAGCAATGGAAAGCAGAAGGAAAAGCATCCTGTCCTGCAACCACTCTGATGTAAAAACCTCAAACCAAAACAAAAACATCCTTCTGAGTAACTCTAACAAATTATATTAACTAAATTAAACGTCAAGAGGCTGCAGAGTCTCTGGCATCAATTTCAAACACAAGTTTTAGGCAAAGGATAGCCTTCAGCACCATGGAGCTTTAGGACTTTCTGAAACAAGAATCATTGCTTCCTGACAGTTTGCAACATACTATCCTGTAAATGCAGCATGTCTTCCTTGGAGCCATCTGCATAAGCTAAGAAGAAAAGATATCTGAGATTAGCTGTCATCTCTGACCATACTAAGATGAAAACTGGCCATATAAGCTTCTAAAAAGATGTTGAGACCTACACCTTTTCACTATAGAGGCATACCACCTCTTAGAAATACGGTAACCAATAAAAGACAGAAACCCCAAACAGGTATTATTATCTATTTTTTAAAAATTATTTATCCACTTCATTCAGCCAAGAAATCTGAAAGGTCAAAATTTCTGAAATACCTCACACCTCACACTGTGAGAAGTGGGGACCAAATAGGAAAATACACATTTAAAAATGGTATCTCTTTTGACTGGTTTACCTCCCTAATAATTTTTAAACCCACAATGCTTTGAAGAAGGTAGTTATTCAGTTACATTATATTACTGTTGTTCTTTTATTTAAAATAGCTTTTAGAAAACCAAAAATAGTAGAGCAAGAAGGTGAAAAGATAAAGTTGCAACTCTGACTCAAAAACTTTGCTTTTGAAAAAAGAGGTCTAAGTAATTAATATTTATACTCTTAGTTACAAAAAAAATTCTGAAAATAACTGTCATTCATTACACTTACTCTCTCATTAATGGTAATATTGTCCATGCACCTTCATGCCCGTCCATCTGATGAATAAGCTGAACCGTAGGTAATTCCTTTAAGAAAAATAAAAATATTCCCATTAAACTTGAATTATATGCACTTTTTTCCCTAAACACCACCCAATCTTAAAAAAAAAAACTTACTCTGGAACAACTACTTAGCTCCTCATTGTTTTCTACTGTCAAGTAGCCCTGCAGAATAGATGACTTAGGATGGTATGAAACAAGGTGACCTGCAATTTAGGGAAAGTGCTTCTTCCAACTCATGATTTCTTGATTCTCTATTAGATACAAAGCTAATACACTTCAAGTTAAATGTTTTGTATAGGTCCCATGTAATCAATTAAGCAATATATCATACTTGTTTCTTTACCATATCATAAAATCCCATACTGTAAGGAAAGAGTTATAAATAATGTAGGGTATTCTACAAAGGCTTCCATTGGACAATCACGTTACACAGAGCTTATGTGAGAGGTCTAACACTCTTTACTTGGCTGAGTTCAGCTTTGACCTGTCACACTAACATCATGACAAAAAACCATGGGTTTATGCAAAAATCAAAATGCATTAGCATTTTTTCTTCCTGAAAAACCAAAGAAGCTTCCTACAAACGAAAATCTTTTCATAAATTTCTTTGCTCTTTTGTTACTTGAAATCTCTTCGGTGTGGCAGATCCCGATATCTAGAAGACAAGCTATCATTTTGGGGTAGTTCCCAAGAAAACACCCTTTAAACACGGCCCTCCGATAAACCAGACTGCATAATTTATTCACTAGTTCATGCATGTAAAAAGTGGGAGAGAGATATATATCCCATAATATATAGGCAGTATCTTACTCCATTGATCTACTACATTTACAAGTATAATTCTCTACTGCAGCATCATTAGGGTCTCAACCACCTCACAAATGTCTCAATCCTTTGGGTTCAGTAATTGTACTAGTACTGAAGCAAAAATCTTCCTGCCAGAAGAGTCTAACCTCCCAGTTTATCTAAACTTCCTCACCATCTAAGTACATCCCATTACAACAATTAACCTAACAAAGCTCTGGTGGCAACAAAATGCAACAAAAATGACTTAATACTAGCAGGTAAACGATCCCACCTTTCCATTATACAAACTGTTATGTGACTAAAGGCTCATCACCACAAACACAAAGAAGCAGAGAGGAACAGTAACAGGGTAGGAACCCCAATAATGTAATTGGAGAAAACTGAGCACCCTGACCCAGCTGCCCCCAGGGCTGTCCCAGAGGAGCCATCAGCCTCTCCACCTGTGACACTCACCAGCTAAAGAGAAGGGAGAGGCTCCCTGCTCACCTTGCAGTCTGACAGGGGGGTACTGCCTACAGGGGCATGTGACTCATTACGGGATTCAGGGGAAAAGCACTTTGGGATGGCACAAAACGTATTATGAGATGCTTAGGGAAGACAAAAGGCCAGGAAAAGAGGGATCAGGGTCGTCTGAGGAGGAACAACCATTGGTAAACACAAGGAAAAAAGAGGTTGGTCACTTGAAAGAGATTGCCGGTCAGGACGGTTGTCTGGCCATGCCCTGCACTGATCACTGCAGTCTGTCCTGTTTTCTCCTTAAATTCCATTTCTAACTCCTGGGCAGGAGGCTCTGTGTCCGTGTGTATTCAGACCTGAGTGCCTGCAACTGGAGAGGGGACCATGAGTCACAGTGGTGCACATGTCTGTGCTGCCAGAAACTGGGGAGAGTGGGGTGCATGCATGTTGTGCGGGTGTGTGTTTCAGTGTGCGTCATTGCTCATGAGCATCAAGCTGGACTAGGAGTAGGAGAAGAGGCTTGGGAGCCAGGTATTGGAGCAGCCACAAGTCTGAGGCAGACACTGGGGAGACCAAGGGGCCTGACAGTTGGTTACTGGAGGAAACAGGAGGTCCCAGCTACAGGAGAGCCTCTGGGGTGCAAGGGTAAGCTACTGGCAGGGTTATAGGTCTGCACCAGGTACCAGAAAGACCCCTTTGCCTGTGTGCGTCTGTGTGTGAAGCAACAGGGAGTCCAGGGGCTGACTACTGGATACACTGAGTATCTAAAGCTACTGGGAGGATCCATAGTGTGTGCGTGTGGGTGTGCAGGAGCAGGGCTGAGCATCAGCAACTGGAATGGAGCAAGCCTCACGTGCCCACGTGCTGGCAACTGCACAGACCGGTGATGCGAGACCAGCGACTGCACAGACCGAGCGTCAAAGACCGGCTACTGGAGGCATCCATATCGTAGATGTGTGTATTTATGTATAAATATTCCACAAACAGGCTTTCATCCTGACCAGCCAGAAAGGTGAAACGAGGTCAGGCCATTGGTGCAGTTTGTGTTTGTAAGAGCGCTGTGGTTTCTGTGTTAATCTACGTGGATGACCACGTATATACGTACACTTAGTGTATGTATGCATGCATATGTGCCTATTGGGAACACATGCGCAGCCTCGCTACTGGCTGGGCCTGGGGACACGGAGCTGCAGCAGCCTCACCTCTGTCAGGCTGGCAGATTTGGCAGCTCCTAAGACAAACCATCTTGATCTCTCAAGGGCCTAACTCCTTTCCTCTTACACCGTGCACACGCCAAACATTTTTGTTTGATGAATGCTTCTCATGAATATAAGCCAATGCCATTAACATAAAATTCACATTTAAACACAAAAATAATTTATTCTCTAAGAAAAGCTATAAGATAAAGTTCACAGTGCTTGCTGACTCTGTCAAGTTTACTTGAAATCCTTTTTAAGAGCAGTTAAGCATAGCACCTAGAAATACCTAAAACCTCCAAACTTCATACACTAAAGACACTCTAAAGAATAACGGTGTCTCTCAGGAGTGCATTAACCCTATCAAAAAATAATGATCTATTATTTTTAAAAATATTTATGCTATTGTGAATGACCAAAATTGAAAAGAAACAATGCCAAAACTCTAATTTGGAACAGGATATTCACCCGCATCTAAAATATCAGTGGTTCTGATTTATGGTTCTAGTTCAAGCCAATCCATCAAATACGTTTCTGGTTAATTTTAATTTATTGCAAAACCAAGGAAGTCCAGAGGTTTTTAGTGGAAGTGACAAATCTTAGTAACAGTATACTCAACATCTGGTCTTTCACTAAAATGTAACCACTTCATAGTAAAACCATAAAAATATGTTTGCTTATGGGATTGCAAATAGGAAGATAAAAGGGAAAACCTCTGTCTTTACAAGAACATTTGTTTTTACAAGCATACAAACCTTGCAGTTATGCTAGTATTTGTATGTGGTCATGTATTTCATGTACAATAGGAGCCAGACAGAGATAAAAGTAGTTAAGACTTATGGGAAATAGAAAGATAAAAGGGAAAACCTCACCTTTTTCTTTACAAGAACATTTGTTTTTACAAGCATACAAACCTTGCAGTTATGCTAGTATTTGTATGTGGTCATGTATTTCATGTACAATAGGAGCCAGACAGAGATAAAAGTAGTTAAGAATATATTCAGTGTCTATATCACGCTAAAGGCTGAAGTTGTATTCATTTTAGATACAAACAGCATCTGCCCATGCAAAAGGTATGAAGTAAATTGCATAATCTAAGTAGCTGTACCATATACTTAGGTATCTCCTCTTTAACAAAAAAACCCCAACTCTTTCCTTTGTGCAGATCAAAGGACTGACGATAAAGAAAAAGCACCCTTTCTTGAGCTAATCTGATACTTTTGCAAGGTATCTTTTCTTTTTGGCATTCTCATAAGCCTGCTCTCTTTCTCTACCCAACTTCCTAGAGGAAACAAGGCCAAAATGGACCTCTGTAAGGACCCAGGCTGGCAGAGATCACCTCCAGCTAAAATGCTATTTCCGGAACCACAGCTAGGTCACATCCTCTATGACCTCCTAGAAGACCTGTGCTTGCCTTGTTTTCCTGCAGAATGGAGTCCACTAAATTTCATCTAAGCATAACTAAACCTTGCCCTAAGTGTATGGTTTAGTGAGAACATGGTTTTTAGAACATAATTCAAACTGGATGTTGCTCACCACTATTTATTATATGCCCTATGTGACATCATATTGCAAGTACTACATATAAACAGATACGGAACTGCAGTAAAATGCAAAACATGACTGTAATGTTTATTGTTATATTACTGAGTCATCTGATCAGAGCAATTAGCAAACTTATAACACATTATAGTAAAATACAGTAGTGTATAGGAATCTGCTCTTAATGAGTCCAGCATGCTGGTATCTGCAGGTGTCTTGCCTATATCTCTGCGTTTTGTAAGTTTATTAAAAACTGCCTCATGAAACCCAGAACTGAGGCGCAAGAGGGGAGATCCTAAACCCTAGACACTGTTGTTGAATCACATAGTTCCAGAATTCGAAATGTTTTCCTAGTTTTTGCTCTACATGCTCTACAAGCACTTAACAACATTTTCCCTACTCTGTTATCTTCTTTACAAAAATTAATCCTAAGACACATTCAGAGCTAGCCTATCTACCCTCTTCTCAACCCTCCCGTGGGAGGTTAAATAAGCCAAGCCCCTCCAGTCATCCATTATGACTACTTCGAGAAGTAGAGCTGTGGAATACACACTGAAGTCTCCCTACAGCTTTATTTTCACAAACATGCCACTTCTGTAGACACCCTGAAGGATTTCTAAAATGACAGAAAGTAAGATCAAATCTCCTACCTCTAAATCGAGCAGGCCAGTCCATTTGCTAGGAATTGCCACCATCAAATACTACACTGCACACTACATCTTCTCCATGTTCTAACAATTTGCTTAAACATTGAAAACTACAATACACATTTCAAATATTTTTCATGTTTTAAAGACATAAGTATCAATATTTATCAGAACATCAAGTCCAAAAATCCAGGGCAAAACATTATTTCTCTATACCCCTTCAAATAAAACCCATGAATGACTTAAAGTACTGTTTTACAATACAACTGTAACAAAAGTAGTATGCTTCTGTTTAACAAGTCAGTGATTTGGGAGCTTCTCCAAGACGGTCATGGCCTTTTTAACCTTTGCTTTATTTCTCTCTTTAAGCTGCTTT